CAGGAACTAAGAGAGATGCTCTTCAAGGCTCTCTGAATCAACTCCATGCAACCTTACATCCATTTGCTTAAGATTGAAATTCCCTGCAGAAGGTATCTGATGGATCTAGCTTGGACCACTTGCCTGTTTCTTGACTATGGGAAAGCGGGGGACTTGGATAGCCCCACTTGGACAGTGTGCAATGGCAAAGGGACTGTTTCCCAAAGAGAGATGGAGTGCTAGAAAGGCAAAGACTCCGGTATCCACCAGGGGAATTATAAAATTTAGCCATTGATATGTTTCCTGGGATTGCCAGCCAATGAGCTGACCTACATTTTATTTGGGGCTTACTCAGTGTTGGCAGTTGTAATGGTTTGAGACCACAAAGCTTGGAATCACCCACCTATAGGTGCCTGAATTCATCAGCATTCTGTCCTTTTCCCTTATTCCCAGTGCGAGCAGTCCCACCTCATGAGAGAGCATGAGGATGTCCAGGAGCGAACGACGCTTCGCTATGAGGAACGCATCACAGAGCTCCACAGCGTCATTGCGGAGCTCAACAAGAAGATAGACCGTCTGCAAGGCACCACCATCAGGTACACGGCTCCAGTCGGCTTTCACTCTGCCCCTCCTGCTAGACCCTCCATCTTGGAGCTGAAGTAGCCCCAACTATTAATATTTTAACTCCAAGACCGAAGTTCTAGTTTATAGATTATAAGCTAGATTATAATGATGTTTTCTTTGTATCTAAGGCTTTTGAAGTGTATATTGCTCTTAGTTTTGTTAATCATGTGCTTTCACCTCCCTTTTTCTGTTCTGATTTGGGTCCTTATAATAACCCTGGAAAGCAGTCAAGGTGGGGGTTGTGGTCCTCAGTTCATTGATAAGGGTATGAAATCAGAAGCTGAGTGAAATGCTTTAGTCATGAGTTCTAAATGGAGCCCCTTCCATCTTAGAGACCAGCGTCCCTGCTGCCCCTTTTATTCACTGGGTGGATGCTAAATGTGCAAACTATGTCCCTTCCTTGGAGATTTTGAGAGATTTATGAATGTAGCTTATAACTAAGCATTATGTAGGCTTCTAGATAATCTGATTATATTTTGAGCTTACCTCAAATTGCTCTACCAACATGGATTTATCCTCTTACCGAACTCATAAGGCAGGGGGCAAGGTTTGACCCATCATTTTACTGGTGAAAAAGCTGGGGCTTAAAGAGAGTGACTGCCTTGTAGTTAAAATTAGCAGAGGATAGAGGTGGGTCAGAACCCAGAATATCTCTGCTTTTACTGAATTTTCTCTTCATAACAATAACTGGTAGGGATTCTGCCTTCCTTACTTATAAATCACTTGGACCCTAAGTCTCCTGCCACAGTGATTAGTTGGTTGTATCTGCCCTGTTTCTCAGAGGAGAGGTTTGCTTTAAATGACTTCCTGAGCCGTGGATGAGAGCATTTTCATGTTCCTGGCGATGCTCAGGGAACAGCCTGAGGACAGCAAACGGCTGGCACCTACCTTTTTGGAGAAAGAGTGCTTTGTTCACCGAATGCTTACACAAGCCACAATTTTAAAACAGTTTCATTCGCAGCTACTTTAAACTCTCCTTCTAGAAGTCAGAGGAAACTTTGGATGCATTTTGTTCCAACACCGAGAGTCACAGTAATGACAGGGCTTCTTGATGAGGCTACTAATGGGCATCTGTTTTCTGGGCAAAATTGTGGAAAAATTTGCACTGAGCAGGAGCCACACAATAAACTGCATATTCTAATTTAGAACCTCAAGGCTTTTAAATTGTATATTGGTTTTCAGAGTGATTGTAGTTTAGAAGTACATGAGCAGAGAAGAATTTTTAGCCCAAAAGAATGATTGTAGCAGATTTAAAGGAGCCTGACATAGGACACTGGCAAATTTGTGATTTTTATTAATACATGTTGCACTTTTAAACACTTGAGAAAGTGAAAGCAAATGGGCTCAGTAAGTTGTGAAAAATACAAAATGTGAAAAAATACACATCACCTAGAAATCTTAATTGAAGATGTTTAAATTGAATATAATGACCAAACTGCTTCACTTTGAAATGCAGTGAACTTTTTGAATACAAACATTTATTGGTGCCTTTAATTTAAAGGAAGACTACATCTGTGGAGATGTCATATTAAATTCTGCCAGTCTGTGTTGTTTAATGAGCTGGCCCCTCCTTGAGGGGATTCCCTGCAAGGCTGGAAGATGCGTAGACATGTAGACCAATGAGACCATGTCTCTTCTTGTCCTCTGAGCTCCTGAGGCTTAGGCATCTCCCCAGCCCTCAGCACTCCAGCAAATTGGTTTGGCCTCTGAATTATTCAGGGTTCTCCAGAGAGACAGAAGCCAATAGAATATAGAGACAGATATATATCTATAAAGATATGAAAGGGGATTTATTAGGAAGACTGACTCATGCAATTATGGAGTCTGAGAAGTTTCACAGCAGGCTGCCTGCAAGCTTGAGACCCTGGGATGCTAGCAGCATGACTCAGTCCAAGTTTGAAAACCTCAGAACCAGAGAAGCTGATGGTGTAATTCTGAGTCCAAGCCAAAGACTTGAGAACCTGGGGGAATGCAGGTACAGGTCCTGGAGTCCAAAGGCTGGAGAGCCAGGAGTTCTGATGTCCAAGGGCAGGAGAAGAGTATTCCACCTCCCGGAAGAGGGAGAGTGAATTTGTCTTTTCTCTTCCTTTTTTGTTCTATCCAGACCCCCAGCCAGTTGGATGGTGCCCACATACACGAAGGGTGGATCTTCCCCCTCAGTCCAACAACTCACACACCAGTCTCCTCTGGAAGCACCCTCACACACACACACCTAGAAATAACGCTTTAACATTTCTCTCAGGCATTCCTTAATCCAGTCAAATTGACACCTAAAATTAGCCATCACAGTCTCAGCTCTTAATATGCTATGATGGGCCAAATACAGTAGGAACTAGGCACCGTGGATGAACTCTAACTGCCCTAGCATACCCAGGGTCTACAGAATGCTTGTCATACTGGACAGACACAGTGGTGGTAGCATTATAGACTTAGGTGTCACTTAAATCTGGCCTCAGTTAAGAATTTATTGGAGAGGCTAAAAATCTTTATTAAGGGCATAGTTTGTATAACCTATGATATATCCACACTTAAGCTATACTGAATTGCTTAAGGAAAGAAAATGACAATCTCATAGTTTTCTATTTTTATCTCAGGTCACAGTCAAAGCACCAGGCACCTTCTGTGACTGCCCTAGAACACTCTCCGATCCCTTATAGTCACAGTGCTAATGTAGCCAAAAACCAGATACTGCAGGTTGCAGAATTCTAATGTGAGTTGAATTCATAGCCACATCAGATCTTTTAAGTGAAGATTAAGCATTGGTAGGAAAAAGTGAAATTGTGAGAATTTGTAGGGTTCATTTGGGTAGATTCACATGCATTCACACACCTAGAAACTACAAATTCCACTGAGCACTCCTTCCTACAGAAACAATTCTCCCTCCTCATCCAGTAAAGCAAATCCTATCTTGCTTGGAGACTCTATAACTATTTCGTGCCAGGTAGGAGGTGGCAAATATAGTCATGTCCCATTTCTACTTCGTTCATCTTTATCTTTAGGCCTAAAAGTGGTCAAATGTCATCATGTCCCAAAGAGATAAGTAGAAAATCCAACTTGGAAAGATACAAGTAAAGCACTGGAAGATTTATAAGATTCCATTAATTTACATTTAATAAAACTTGGGGAAGCTGTATGTTCCTTAGAGATGCTGGATAGACCTTTGATGCATAGTTTGCAAATATTTTCTCTCATTCTGTAAGTTGTCTGTTTACTCTGTTGATAGTTTCTTTTGCTATACAGAAGCTCTTAAGCTTCATTAGATCCCACTTGTCAATGTTTGCTTTTTTGCTGTTGTTTTTTGTGTCTCTGTGCGGTGGTGCATGCCTATAGTCCCAACTACTCGGGAGGCTGAGGCAGGAGAATCGCTTGCACCCAGGAGGTGAAGGTTGCATGTGTCTTTATAGTAGAATGACTTATAATCCTTTGGGTATATACCCAGTAATGGGATTGCTATGTCAAATGGTATTTCTAGTTTTAGATCCTTGAGGAATCGCCACACTGTCTTCCATAATGGTTGAACTAATTTACACTCCCACTAACAGTGTAAAAGCATTCCTATTTCTCCACATCCTCTCCAGCATCTGTTGTTTCCTGACTTTTTAATGATCGCCATTCTAACTGGCATGAGATGGTATTTTGTTGTGGTTTTGATTTGCATTTCTCTAATGACCAGTGGTGATGAGCTTTTTTTCGTATGTTCATATTAATTCATGTGTGAGATTAGGAACTAAGGGTTCTAGACCATGGAGGGAGGAATTCAGTTGGACTGATGATGACTTTATTTATAGGACTTTTCCTGTGAGAGATTCTGGATTTTGTATATTAGGCTCAACAAAGGACTCTACATTAAATTATGTTGAAATGCTAGAACTTTCCTAGTATAATCTAGAAAAAGTTTAGAAGCCTGAGGAGTCAGCAGTGTTAACTGGGAGATAATGTCCTTAAAATGGGGTCCTTGATACCACTGAACAACTACAGTCAAAGTGGGCTTGGTTATTGTATTGGTCAACAAGGTCACAATAGTAGTCAAAAAAGTTTGACCTGCTAGGGATTGTTGTAGTGGCTAAGTAAGCATGAGATCTCTAGAACTGATGGAAATGGGCAGCCTACTAAAGTTTTACCTGATCATTATAGGCAAACTCTGGTCTGGTGAACAGAGACTTTACTTGTCATCACAATGGATAATCATAGCCTCATCCAATTCACTTACCTGGATACCAGGCCAGTTATAGAACCAGAGCCCCCTGGATTAAGGGGAAAATGTATACAGTCATGCCACAAGTGAGTGCAGTAAACTTTCCTTTTACCCCTTCAAAGAAAGAGAATGGCAGGTACTTATAGGGAGAGTGTGCAGTGGGGAAAAGAGAGAACCATATTCTGAGGTAGATTACTAGACTTTGAGTCTAAACTGATGATAGCCTATGGAGCTCCAAAATATTTGTGGTTTACAAGTCAGAGTAGGGACTTAGGAAGGTATATCAGTCAGCTTGGGCTGCCATAACAAAATATCATAGACAAGGTAGCTTATTTCTCACAGTTCTGGAGGCTGGGAAGTCTAAGATTAAGACACGAGCTAATTTATTTCCCCATTGAGGCTCTGTTCCTGGCTTGCAGATGGCCACCTTCTCACTGTGTCCTCACATGGAGGGAAGAGACAAAGAGGAAGCAAGCTCTCTGCTGTATCTTCATATGAGGGCACCAATCCCATCATGAGGACCCCACCTTCATGACCTCATCTAAACCTAATTACCTCCTAAAGGCCCTATCTCCAAACACCATCACATTGGATATTAGGGCTTCAACATAAGAATTTTGGCATGGGCCAGGTGTGGTGGCTCATGCCTATAATCCCAGCACTTTGGGAGGCTGAGGCAGACAGATCACTTGAGGACAGGAGTTTGAGATCAACCTGGCCAACACACGCCTGTCTCTACCAAAAAATACAAAAGTTAGCTGGGCGTGGTGGTATGTG